GGGTCATCTTGGTCTCTATAGGTCTGTACAGCACCTGCGTGGTGGTGTGGGACCTGATCTCAGTGGGCTCATGCAGCTCCTGGTGCAGTGTGGGACCTAATCTCAGTGGGTGCGTGCAGTGCCTGGCACACGGACCCAGGGTCCCAATCCCCCTAGGCCCATGCCAGCCGAACCCTCCTTAGCTTTGGTCTGAGCTGGTTTCCCCAAAGAGAAGATTTGGGTCTGCGTTGGGAGCCCGGACCCCTGAGTTCTATTCTGGGGGAGCTGGGAGTAGTGGTTGGAGCTGGTACGGGAGGGGACCCGGACTCCTGAGTTCTCTCCTGGCTCTGGGAAGGGAGTGTGGGGTCTTGTGGGAAATGTAGAGAGACTGGGATTGCAACCAGGGGTTGCCGGGACTCCTGGGTTCCCCTCCCAGCTCTGACAAGTCTCCTGTCAGAGCTGGGAGGGGAACCCAGGAGTCGCGGCTCCCAGACCCCCTGCACCATGATCAGCAAGTGGAGAGGGGGTGCAGGGTGCAGGGCTGGAAAAGGAACCCAGGGCTCTTGGAAGCAGCTGCTTTAACTCCTTGGTTGCCCCTTCCTGGTGCCTCTGGCAGCCCCCTTGGATCAAACCCCTGCGCTCAGAGCTGTAGGTCGGTGCCCATTGCTTTCCTGGGTCCATAGGGTCACCCCAGCTGCCCCTTTAAGAACGTTAACCCCTTTCCTGCTAACCACTGACTGTTCATTTGCATAGGCAAATGAGCTGATTTGACTGTTCAAATGATGGGCCTGCAGTGCAGAGAAAGGTGGGGTGGAGCTAGCAGGGGCAGAAAGGACCCAGGAGTCCAGATTCCAAGCTCCCTGCGCCTCTCCCCTTTCTGTTTCTGTGGAGGAGTGGGGCCTAATGGTTATGGACTGGGGGTGTGGCTTGGAGGGGGTGGGTCCTAGTGGTTAGCAGCAGACAGCTGCTTCTTTGCTTGGCTCTGGGAAGGGCCAGGTGGGTCTGATCCTGGACTCTTGGGTTCTAGCCTCTGGATCACACCTCCCCCAGGCCCGTCCCATTGTCCCCCCTGCACTGGAGCTCCCAGTAGACAGATGTTGGGGGTGGAGGGGACGTCCACAGCCTCTGGTAGTTAGCACTGGTGGGGAGTGGGGTCTACTGGGAAACAGTGCAAAGAGACTGGGATTGCAGCCTGGGCCCAAAGCTAGGAGGGCAACCCAGGAGTCCAGGCATCCAGCATCTCCCCTCAATCAGCAGAACCATCTCAGCAAATGAAGGGGAGTCTCCATCTGCACTTACTGTATTTTCACATTTACCATATGCCCCCCCCCCCCTTCCCGCCCCACAACACTTAGCTGCTGACAATTGGCTTGCCCACTCTGTGCAAGAAACATGGTAAGAGCTGGTTCTGCTTAAGGCTGGGAATGGAGCTGGTTGCCAACAGGATTCCTGGGTTGCTGCAGGGGCAGGAAGCCTGGGGAGTGGGTGTCCCGACCTAGCTAGGGCCCGGCATTGCCAGGTGCCCCTGGGCCCTAGCAGGGAGTTTTGTGTCCTCCCCAGGGCAGCAGGTTCAAGCCAGGCCCCTTGATCTGTCCCCTTGACCCTGTCTGTAGGGCTGGGCACCCCCATGGGGGGGTGGATCTCAGCCCCACGGGGTTCAGGGCCAGTCCATAGATGTCAGGAGGTGAGAGAGGGAGGGCTGTATTATACCCACCACTCCTGGGCACAGGATACATGGTGCAGATCCAGGGTGGTGCCAGTGGCATTTCAGTGAAGAGGCAGGGAGGAGCTGCAGGAATGTGGGGGAACCAGTGTGGCCTGGCTCTGTGTGTGCGTGCTGTGTGTGTAGGTGTGTGAGAGAGTGAGTGTGTGTGCATGCACGTGTATGTGTTGTAGGCACCTGGGTTCTTGATTGTGAGTGTGTGCAGGGTGTCGGACACCTGGGTTCTGCATGTGTGTGCAACTTGGATGCCTTGGTCCTGTGTCTGTGTGTGTGCAGATGCATGTATGCAGGTGTGTGTGTGTCAGATGACTAGGCTGTGCATGTGACCCAGACACCTGGGTCCTGTGCATATGTGTATGTGGGATACCTGGGTCCCAAGTGTGTGCATGCATGCATATGGATGCGTGTGTCCTGGACACCTGGGTTGTGTTTGTGTGTGCATGCATGCTTGTCTCATCTGCCCTGCAGTGGGTTGGGGGTACAAAGTCTGCTGCTGGAGCAGATCACCCAGCCCCTGCTCCCCATGCCCCAGAGAGGGGTGAAAGGGGCCTAGTCCTTGGACCTCCTCCCCAGCTATGCCCAGGGGTGGTACTGTTATGCCCAGGGTGATTGATGCAGTGGAAGGGGCATGACCTGATATTGAAATGACAGGAGGACGGGGAGTGGAGGGGGGGGGGGGGGGGGGGGGGGGGGGGGGGTTAGCCTGGCATCCATGTGGTAGAAGAGGCGTGGCCTGCTATTCATAGGATGGAGGTGTGGCTGGACTCTGATGTGATGGCAGGGGCATGTCCTGATATTCATAGAATCATAGAAAATGAGGGTTGGAAGGGACCTCAGGAGGTCATCTAGTCCAACCCCCTGCTCAAAACAGGACCAGCCCCAACTAGATCATTTCAGTCAAGGCTTTAACTAGCCAGGTCTGAACACCTTCCAAGGATGGAGATGCCACCACCTCTCTGGGTAACCTGTTCCTGTGCTTCACTGCCCTCCTAGTGAGGTTTTTCCTAATATCCAACCTAAACCTCCCTTGCTGCAACTTGAGACTATCATCTGCCACCACTGAGAACAGCTCCATCCTCTTTTGAACCCCCCTTCAGGTAGTTGAAGGCTGCTATTAAATCCCTTTTCAGTTTTCTTCTCCAGACTGAATAAGCCCAGTTCCTTCAGCCTCTTTTCAAAAATCTTGTCCCCCACCCCCTCATCATTTTTGTTGCCCTCCACTGGACTCTCTCCAACTTGTCTGTATCCTTTCTGTAGTGGGGGAGGCCAAAATTAGACACAGTACTCCACATGTGGCCTCACCAGTGCTGAATAGAGGGGAAGAATCACTTCCCTCAATCTGCTGGCAACACTCCTACTAATGCAGCCCAGGATACCATTAGCCTTGGCAGCACACCACTGGCTCACATTCAGCTTATTGTCCAATTTAGCCCCCAGGTCGTTTTCCGCAGAGCTGCTGCCCAGCCAGTCAGCCCTTTGGCTTGTACTGATGCATGGGATTGCTCTGTCCTAAGTGCAGGACTTTGCACTTGTCTTTGTTGAACCTCATGAGATTCCTTTTGGCCCAATCCTCCAAATTGTCTAAATTGCTATGAATCCTAACCCCCCAGCTTCATGTAATCTGCAAACTTGCTGAGGGTGTACTTTATGCCATCTTCCATGTTGTTGATGAAGATATTGAACAAATTAGCCCCAGGACCGACCCCTGGGGCACTCCACTTGATACCAACTGGACATCAAGCCATTGATCCCTACCCATTGAGCCTGACAGTCCAGCCAGCTTTCTGTCCACCTTACAGTCCATCCAACCTATACTTCCTCAGCTTGTTTACAAGAATGCTGTGGGAGATGGTATCAAAAGCCTTGCTAAAGTCAAGGTATATCATGTCCACTGCTTTCCCTCCATCCACAGAGTCAGTCATCTCATCATAGAAAGCAGTCAGATTGGTCAGGCATGACTTACCCATGGTGAATCCATGCTGACTGGTTCTAATCACTTCCTTCTCCAAGTGCTTAGAAATGGATTCCTTGGGCATCTACTCCATGATTTTTCCAGTGACTGAGGTGAGGCTGACTGATCTGTAGTTCCCTGGATCCTTCTCTTTCTTAAAGATGGGCCCTATATTTGTGCTTTTCCAATCATCCAGGATCTTCCCTTTTTTCCACAGTGGCTCTGCAATCACATCAGCCAACTCCCTTAGCACCCTCAGGTGCATCCCATCCAGCCCCATGAACTTGTACATGTCCAGCTTTTCTAAGCAGTCCCCAACTTGTTCTTTCACCACTGAGGACTGCTCACCTCCTCCCCAAACTGTGCTGCCCAGTGCACTAATCTGGGAGCTCACCTTGCCTGTAAAGACCGAGGTAAAAAAGGCATTGAGCACTTCAGCCTTTTCCTCATCATCTGTCACTAGGTTGCCTCCCCCAGTCAGTAAAGGACCCATACATTCCCTGATCTTCCTCTTGTTGCTGACATACTTGTAGAAACCCTTCTTGTTACGTTTCATGGCCCTTGCTAGCTGCAACTCCAATTGTGCCTTGGCCTTCCTGACTTCATCCCTGCGTGCCCGAGCAATGCTCTTATATTCCTCCCTAGTCATCTGTCCAAGCTTCCACTACTTGCCATACTTGCTAGGTTTTCTGCACACCAGGATGGTTTGTTCCTGTGCTCTCAGTTAGGCTTCTTCAAAGTACAGCCAGCTCTCCTGGACTCCTCTCCCCCTCAGACTGGCCTCCCAGGGGATCCTACCCATGCATTCCCCAAGGAAGTTCAACTCTGCTTTTCTGAAGTCCAGGGCCCTTGACGTGATGGGGGCATGGCCTCATGGGGGTTTGATGGAGGGGGTGTGGCCTGACCATCACCTCAGGGGTGGTGTCCTAATATTGACATTTTGAGTTCATGGCCTTATGAGGATGTTAGGGAGGGGATATGGCCTGATGGGACAGATCATGGGGTGTGGTCTGATACCAGATGAGGGCATGGCCTGATGGGGATGTGATGGAGGCAGTGTGGCTTGAGTGCTATGGGGCATGGCGTGATAGTCACGTGATGGAGGGGCATGGCCCACTGCTCATGTGGGGGAGCATGGACTGATATTGACATGACAGGAGGTGTGGCCTGATCTGCATATGATAGAGGGCGTGTGGCCTGCCTGTGACAGATTGGGTGCATGGCCTGATATTGATGGGGGGGCATGGCTGTGGGGGGGTGACACTGGGAGGGTATGGGGGTGGGATTCGGGCCTGCCAAACCTCAGGGCATTGTAGGAAGGTAGCTGTGCTGCCCCAGCACTGATGTAGTCCGTCTGTCCATCCATCCCCCCAGGACCAGTTCGACATCATTGAACATCACACCCAGTGGGGTCTCGACCTGGCTGAGAAGTACATCAAGTTCGTCAAGGAGCGGACAGAGATCGAGCAGGCCTATGCCAAGCAGTTGAGGTAGGGGCAGGGGTCCAAGGGCGCAGGGGTCGTAACCACTCCTGGACCAGGATGCCTAGGCTCCTGCCGCCAGTGAGAACAGAGCTACAGGGGCTCAGGATGCCGGGTTCTACACCAGCTCTGGGGATGGGTTGGAGCAGGAAAGGTGGGAGCCAGGATGCCTGGGATCCCTGTCTTGCATTTAGGAGGAGAGGGGGGCCCAGGACTCCTGGGTGGGTGGGTGGATTAAGTCACTCCCCTGTGGCATGTCAGGTCATGGCCCCATGGAGGGTGGGGGGAACCAGTTGTATCAGAACTGTGGTCCTCAGGTCCTGTTCCATGCCTTGTCACTGACCTCAGGTCTCTCTGCGCCCATCATATGGGCACCTTTGCCCTGACCCTGGAGAATCCTCCCATAGTAGTATGGGGCCTCTGACACATGCTAGGGTCCTTCTCTCCACTTCCTCCCCTTGGTGGGGGGATGGAGATGGGAGCCTGGATACAAGCTTGCTTTTCTTCTTGGTGGTGTGGAAAGCAAGAGCCTGGGTTTGCTGTGCCTCCCCACCCCACTTCCAGAGCTGGGATGGAACCCAGGTATCCAGGCTCCCAGCTCCATCACTGGATAATAGGTTTGAATCCCCTTGTGTTTAGTTCTAGGAGGACAGCAGAGTTCACTGTTACTGTGGGGAGGGGCTGGGAGCCAGGACACCTGGGTTCTTTCCTAGTTCGGAGTGGTGTTTGGCAGGTTAGAGCAGTGGGGGCTGGGAGCCTGGACTCCTGTGATCTTTTTTAGGCAGGATGGTGTGGGGGAGGAGAGGGGGCTGCCTGGGAGTTTTGTCTAGGCTGTTTTTAGCTTTGACTTCTCGTTTCCAGGAGCCTGGTGAAAAAATATCTGCCCAAGCGCAATGTGAGAGAGGATCTGGAAGCCAAGTAAGTGTCGGCATGTCTTGGGCCTGATGTGGGGACAGGCAGATGGATGGACCTGCCCCAGACTCAGCAGCATTTGAGCAGTCAGGGGCTGGGTCTATGGCATGGGGTGTAGGGGCTTTCGATCCAGCCTGGAGGCCTTACCTGGACTCACTGGGTCCATTTTGGGAGAAGTGGGAGTGGATCTTTGGACTGTGAGAGGGAGGAGGGCAGGCTAAGGGGCTCGGCAGGCCCTGGCTATCTGTGATGACCTCATCACGATAGATTTGCCTCACCCCCCACCCCGTGATGACCTCATCACAATGGACCTCACCTCCATGGTGATGCCCCCCCTCGTGATGACCTCATCCTGATGGCCCCCCCCCATGGTAATCTCATCATGATGGATTCCCCTCTCCCCTGATAACAGCATTGTTATCTTCTGTGCCATTGACCTTATCGTGGTGGACCCCCCATGTTGACCTCATCACAATAGACCCTCCCCACGACACCCTCATGATGGATTTCCCTGCCCTGGACTTCTTCTTGTTGACTCCCCCTTGATGATCTCATCACAATAGATCCTCACACCAAATCCTTCCTCCCACAACCTCATGACAGTGACCCCCCTCTCTTGATGACCTCATCACATTGGCCCCATAACAAGCCCCCAGCCCTCAACTGGGTTCCTGTGGCTGGAGGGCGCCCCCTACTGGCCAGGCAGGGCATTGCATCCAAGCCTCCAACCCTGGGGCAGGAGCAGGTGTGTGAGGGGGTGTGTTTTGGAGCCAGATCAAGGCTTTACTGCCCCCCAAGCCCCTTCATGGGACTGAAGATCCCATGTCATGGCTCTTGTGGAATATGACTGTTCCCGCAAAGGTGGTGGGCTGTGGCTGGGCAGCCATGGCTCCTTGAGCTGACCCTTGGTTCTTTTTGCCCCTCTTTGTCCAGGTTTTGCCAATACCAGGCTTTCCTGCAGGTGGTGAAGGAGCTGAATGACCTGGCTGGGCAGAGGGAGGTGGTGGCTGAGAACCTCACGACGTGCATCTGTGTGGAGCTCTCCAAGTACATCCAGGAGCTCAAGCAGGAGAGGAAAGCGGTTGGTGGCTCTTTGGGGCTGGGCGGGAGGGACAACCCCCTTGTCCTTTGCTGGGATCTTGGGGAAGATGTCGGGGGGTGGACACCGAGGGAGGTGGTGAGATTTTCATCTTTGGAAGGGCTTGTGGGGAGGTTGGAGAAATGTTGGGTGAGGGGGGACCTGGGGGTAGCCAGGTGTGTGCACTGCTGGGGCTGTCTCCTGGGCTTCTGAGTTTTGGTGGTTGGTTGGATGGAGCACTCTACCCACCTCATTGACCTCACTGTGATCACCCACCTGTGGACCTCATCATGATGACCCCCCCAGTGACCTCATCATGATGTCCCCTTTTGCTTTTACCATGATGGACTCCTCCAGTGGTCGTATCACCATAATGACCTCCCTGTTAACCTCCTCATGATGGACTCCCTGTTGCTTTTACCATGGTGGACCCCCACCCCTTGATGACCTCCTTGTTGACCACATTGCATTGAACCCCTGATGCCCTTATGATGACCTTCTTGATGACCTTATTGTGATAGACACCCTGTTGCTCTTACCATGATGGACCTGCCCCCATTGGCCTAATCATGATGATGCCTCTAACCTTATTGTGGTGGACCCCCCTTGACCTCATCATGATGACTTTATCATGATGGATCCCCTCATGATGATCTCATCATAACACAGGAATGAATTTATCCTCCTCCTGTTGTTACAGGGAATTGGGAAGAGGGGTCTCTGCAGTGCATTGAACCCTCCTGGCATCTTCCGGACCCTTCCAGTCCTCAGCCCTTGACTTTCCCTGGGAGCTCAACACTGGCTGGGAAGTGTGGCAGCAGGGGAGCAGTGGCAATACTGCCACCTCATGCAGCCACCAAAATCCCAAACCCCATGGGGGAGAGGGGGTTGGACCTAGGGCAGGCCCCTTTCCTCTGTCCAGCCAAATCAGGGCATAGCCAGGCCTCTTCCTCCTGTGGGCCTGGATCATGCCCCCTTCCCATTGCAGGGCCAGGCTGGGTCTGGGCCAAGTCTTCTCCTCTCTCTCCCCCCCCATGACTGGATTGGGGCTGAGCTGCCCCCACTCTACATGCCGGATGGGGCCCTACCACGCCCATCCCAGCTGCCAGATTGGGTCCACTGGCGGGATCAAGCCTGTGGAGGGATCAGGCCCTGCCCATCCAGTTGAGCTTCATTGGTGTAGGAAACTCTGACTGTTTTGAACTGACGGCCTGTTGGGTTTCATTTGCTAGGGACCTAGTGCAAAGGGGGAGGAGGTGGGCTGTCTGCTCCTGGCCCCGCCTTTGTTAGGCACCCCACCCTGACTAGAGCGCTGCCCTGTCTTTTGCTCGGGAGGGTTTGGATAGGGCTGATACAGTCTGGAGCATGGGGCTGGGTTGGATGGGACCCTGGAGGGCCCAGTGTGCTCTGATCCATCTGGGATCCTTTGAGAGGCCCTATGCAAGGCTGGCATGGCTGGTAGCTATGCAGCAGGGAAAAGATGGAGACCTAACTCCCTTCCCCCCAAAACCTCCCCACAGCACTTCCAGGAGGGGCGACGTGCCCAGCAGCAGCTGGAGAACTCCTTCAAGCTCTTGGATAATGTGAGTGTCCCGCAAACCCCTGGGATCAGGCCTCTGCCCTTCCCCTTCCCCTTGACCTTCCAACCTTATTCCCAGGAGCCCCTGGCCCTGGCTCAGGGGCTGGGATCCAGCTGTGCTGGGTGGGCTGGGACTTCCTGAACATCTGCTGGAGGGAGAGGGAGGGAGGGAAAGGAAAACCAGAGCCTTGATTCAAGGAGAAAGAGGGTACTTTATTTTGTCCTCTTTGTTGAGGGTGAATCCGGGTAGGGGGCTGTGGCTGACACAGGAGGGTCTCTGGGTGCATGGTGCAAGGTAGATCGGGGAGAGAATGGAAAGCAGAGCAGGCAAACGAGGCATGGGGTGTAGAGCAGGGAGTAGAAAGCAGAGTGGCTGATGGGGCAGGGAGCTGAAAGCAGAACAGTGGATGGGGCAGGGCTCAGCCGTCCTGCCCCCAACTTCCCCCACACTCCTTCCTCTTCCCTACCCAGAGCAAGAGGAAGTTTGAGCGTGACTGCCGGGAGGCAGAGAAGGCACTGCTTACGGCTGAGCGTCTGGACCAGGACATCAATGCCACCAAGGCCGATGTGGAGAAGGTGGGAACCTGCTCTCTCTCTCCCTCCCTGTAGCCCAGGGGGTAGTGGCCAGGGTAGGGGGCACCACAGACCCCCTCCCCGCACCAATGCCCTCAGCCAGGTCCCAGTTATTGCATTGCCATGGGGTGAGCTGTGTGTTCCGCTGGGGGTTTGTACAGCTCCTGGCATGGCCAAGCCAGGCCAGCCAGGGGGGTTAGGTGGGAGGAGCTGGGGTCTTTCCAGGCCCCCACAGCTGACGATGTTGGTCCCACAGGCCAAGCAGCAAGCTCATGTGCGGGGCCACATGGCAGAGGAGAGCAAGAATGAGTACGCTGCCTGCCTGCAGCACTTCAACCAGGACCAGAGCCGCTTCTATTTCCTGGAGATGCCCCAGATCTTCAATGTAAGGCCCTGGCCCCCTACTCTAGGCCCTGCTCCCCTTGGCTATACCCCACCACCCTGTTGAGGGCCCTGCCGTCTCGATTAGAGCTCTGCCCTGCCCCACTGATGCCCCAGTGATTAGATCCCAGGCTCACCCGCTTTGGTTAGGCCCTGCCCCTCCATAGTTAGAGCCCAATCCTCCCCTCCCTCTTTTGCTAGGGCCCCGCACTCTTTGCTAGGATTCCACTCCCTTGATTAGAGCCCAGTCCTCACTCTCCTCTTCCAGGTAGTGTCCCATGCCCCTTTGGGGATAGGGCAGGGGGCACAGGGCAGGGAGCAGAAAGCAGAGCAGCTGATGGGGCAGGGAGCACAGTAGGTGTGATGAGTTTGGCATGTCTCAGCCTTGCGAGGGGAGTGGGGATGATGGGACCGTGGGGGCCTCAGTGGAGCTTTCGGGGTCCCCCCTGCCCCCCAGAAGCTGCAGGAGATGGATGAGCGGCGGACAGCACGGCTGCGTGAGGGCTATGGGCTGTTCTCGGAGACGGAGCGGCAGGTGATGCCCATCGTGGGCAAGTGTCTGGAAGGCATGAAGGTGGCTGCTGAGGCCGTGGATGAGAAGAGTGTGAGTGGGGCGGGGCAGGGGGAGCCCCAGATGCTTGGGTTCGGGATCCTGGCACTGGGAGAGGACAAAGGTGGGCCTGGAGGCCTGGGTTCACTCCCTGGCACTGGGGGGGCGGGGGTGGCAGTGGGGGTTGGAGCAGCTGGAGCTGGAGACCCGGATGCTTGGGTTTGCTCCCCAGCTCTGGGACATGAGGTTAGAGCATAGGAGGCTGGAAGCCAGATCTCCTGGGTTCTCTTCCCCTGTTATGGGGATGGTGGGGGTGGAGGGTTGGAGCACAGGGGGCTGGGAGCCTGGACACCTGGGTTCTATCCCCCACACTGGAAAGGCGGGGTTAGAGCAGAGGTCTGGGAACCTGGACCCTTGGATCTGTCTCAGGTCTGGGAGGGGCGTAGGGTCTGATGGTTAGTGAAGGGGGACCCGGAAGCCTGGACTCCTGGGTTCTCTTCCTTGTCCTGCTGGAGTGCGGGGTGGTGCAGCCTGTTTTGGGGGGGTGCAGCCCATTTTGGGGGCATGGAGCCTCCCCTTTAGCAGGGGCAGTTCCAGGGAGGGCGGGGTTGGACATTTCCCTCGGGGGCTCTGATCCGTAGGACTCCCAGCTGCTGATTGAGCTGCACAAGTCTGGCTTTGAGCGCCCAGGAGACGTGGAGTTTGAGGACTTCAGCCAGCCCATGAACCGTGCCTCGTCCGACAGCAGCCTGGGCACCCCACGTGGCCCCTCAGATGTCCGGCTGGACCCTCGCCTGCTGGGCAAGAACAAGGCCAAGCGCTGGCCTTTCAGCAAAAAGAACAAGGTAGGAGAGGCCAGGGGCTAGGCTGCACCCCGCAACGGTGTCTCCCTGGGCTTTCACTTATTCTGGGCTAGGGAGTAAACAGACCAGCTGCTACCCTAGGCTGTGTCTGTGTTATAGCACCCCCAGTCACCAGGTGGTGCTGAAAGCTTGAGTCCTTCCTTCTTCCGCATCCCCCATGGGTACATGGCAGGGAGCAGGGACTTGCCTCTGGCCCCAAGGGTTCCCGGGATAGCTGCCGATGCACAGCACTTATCCCAGTGTAAACCTGCCCCGATTCACTGGGCTTAATTCAAGGCTTGGACTCCTCTTCCCAGCACCGGGGCAGAGAACCCAGGAGTCCGGGATCCCAGCCGCTGCAGCACTGAGCCCCACTCTCCTCCCAACACTGGAGAGAAGAACCCAGGAGTCCTGACTCCCTGATGCTGCTCTAACCACTGAACTCTGCTCCCTCCCCCCAGAACTGGGCAGAGAACCCAGGCATCCGGGCTCCTGTCATGTTCTAACCACTGGGCCCCGCTCCTTTCCTCTGGAGCTGTGTGGGGAACCCAGGCCTCCTGGCTCCTTGAGGCTGCTCTAACCACCAGACCCCGCTTCCCCCAGACCTGGACAGAGAACACAGGTGCCTGGGCCCCCAGCCTTGCTCTAACCACTGGATCCCCCTCCCTCCAGAGCTGTGTGGGTAACCTAGGCTCCCTGAGGCTGCTCTAACTACTGGACCCCACTCCTTTTTCAGATCTGGCCTTAACCCACCTAACCCCATGTTCTAGGTAGGGGGAAGACCCAGCTGCCCCTCTCCCCCCCACATCTGTCTTGGCTGGAGCCATATATGCCCTGCCCTCTATGCTGCATCACCTGTCACTCATGGCAGACTCCACCCCCTTCCCCTGGCTGCCTCTGCTGTGCACCCCCCACCCCCTTCCAGCTCCTCTGGTCCTTATGACTCATGCCCCGGATGCCCCACCCTGTCATTTGCCAATCAGAACAGCCCGTTCCTGGCTCCAGGCTCCCTTGCCAGGTGGCTTTTTTGTATAACCTTCTCTTGCTTCCTCCTTAAGCAGCAGTTAGGGTCTGGGCTGGTTTGGAGGGTGGGAAGGGCATGATTTGGGCCTCCTCTTGCCTGGGACTGGGCCAATGGCTCCTTAAGCCAAGGTTGTTCCCAGCATGGTGGGCAGGGGTATGATGGGAAATCCCTGCCCCTTCCCTGTGACTTACTCCCTCCCCACCCACCTGCTGGCCCCAGCCCCTGCCACAACCTCTTCCCCCCCTCCCGTCCTGTCTTTTCTGTGCCTCCATCCTATGTGTCTTTCACCTTTGTGTTGCCCCTAGAGATTCTCCTCCCCCCTTGGGGAACAGCCTGGGTTGGGGCTAGAACTTGTGTTGGGCTGGGAGAGACTGGGTAGGATGGGGCAGGTGAATGCTGTGGCTAGTAGTAGGTGGCTTGGGGCTATCTGGGTTGCCCAGCAGAAAGAAGGAACTCTATGTAGACCTGTTCCCATCCTAACTACTCCAAGAGTACTGTAATTTCAAATATACACATGCCTCCTGAATAAGACCTGTCCCTGTTTTTGGGCACTGAAAACAGAAGGAAGGGGGTTTCCAGCCACAAAGGACAGGGACCTGGCTTGTTCCCTGTCCCCACCCCATTTCCTGTTGAGGCAACAGCTAGGATTTTTTAAACCTTTTAATTGCTGAATTAGGAGCAGCTGTGGACAGCTCAGCCAAAAGCTGAAACCCCAGCTGCTGCTGAAACCTAGACTCCATTGCAGGGGAGGGGGGACTAAAATTTTGTAAAGAGCTAAAAGCAGCAGCGCTGTGATTTAGGGGAGAGACCGGGATTAGCTCATGGAGGACAGCGACATTGCCAGGGAAAGGCTAGCTTGATTAGTAGAACATTAAGAAAGGAGATTGGGTTGTTAGCAGCCCTGGATGGAAGAGCAATTAGCAGGACTCAGCTTTGAATGAGCAATGAAGTCCATTGACTCCCTGAATAGAAATGCCACTGGTGCTTCCCGAGTTAAGCCCCATGTCCCAGTTTTGGAAGGCAATTTTTTGGCGTGTGGTATGCGAGTATATATGGTATATATGTAAGCATATATGGCAAATGCAGTCTTTATTTATACAGTCTTATACAGTAGATACGGTATTTTCTACTGGGAGCGGGGGGCAATTCAGTGCCCCTTTGCTCCCACTCCAGCTGCTGTGGGGGGCCCACAGGGGGCTTGGATGTACCCCCTACCCCTTTTCCCCTCTCCTACCCCAGAGGAGTCTGGCTCACATTGGCTTCCTGCTTTGCTCTGTGCATGAACTAAAACACCTCCTGCTTCCCCCCCTCCCGGCCCTGCCTCCTGCTTGGGAGAGGGGCTCCAGCCTGGACTGCCAGACCAAACAGAGCTGGGATTTAGGGTGGACCCCTTGGCCCTATTCTCCCCCCACCCCCCATCAGGGCATGTTGGAGGGAGGGGCAGCAGTTGCTGGGCAATTTGGGTAAGACTCCCCTGCCTACCATATTATTTTGTCTATAACACGCTCCTGGAATATAATCCATCTTGTCCTGCTCCCTTGGCCTGCTGCAACCTCCCTCCATGAGTGGTGGATGCTGTTCTTACCGTATCTCCTGCATATAATCCACACACCAATTTCCAGCAGCTTTTTTTGGGAGGAAAAACTGCATGTTGCTTGCGAGAAAATATGGTATTGTGGAATGGGGTAGAGGATCCAGCTCCTTCCTCTGGTTGGGCCCCCAGACCCTTTCCCAGAGGAGTGCGGGCAATATTTGGAAGAAGGAGAGATGGGGGGGGTGTAAATGTGACATTCTCCTCACCTGTTCCCACCCCCTCCCCCCCCATGCCCCAGAGGGGTATATGGGAAGAGATTTTGCACCCCCTCCCCCGTAGTTTTCTCAGCAGATGGGAGGGGGTAGGGGCCAGGAATACCATTGGGATTGGGTCCTGGCTGGAGTCTGTGCAGCTCACAGCCTCGTGGGACTTGTAGTCCATTGGGGTGATGCTCCCTCAGACTTCTCCCATAGACTGGAACTACTGCTCCCATGAGCCTTTGTGCTCTCCCCTCATGGCACCTCTGGGGGTCATCAGGGCTCCTGGGAGGGACCAGCATAGCTCCTACTCACCAAGTGGCTCCAGGTGGGACTGGTCCTGTCCAGCGTCCTAGGGGCCATTACACACCCTGGTCCCATTGCCGTGGCCCAGCGGTCGGCCCCTGTTGCCCTCTGCTGGCTGGTGGCTCCTCTGGCCCCTCTCGCCCCCTGCTGGTGGGTGGTGGTATTGCTGCTTGTCTCCCTCCCCCTGTTTTTTTGCCCCCCTCCCCCATTTTTTGCCCCTCCTTCTGTGTTTTTGCCCCCTCCATCCCCCATTTTTGCCCACGCTGGGTGTGGTTTTATTTCTGTGTGCCTCTATTTCCTGCGTCTCTGCCTTTCTTTGGTTTTCTTACAGCAATTTCTTCCCTCCCATGTGTGTCCATGTGTTTCCCCCACCAATGTCTGTCCTCCACCAGCCCCCACCCCACTCTCTGGCCAGCTCCCCCCTCCCTCCTCTGGCCCCATTGGCTCCCAACGGATCTCGCTCCCCCAAATTCGCCCGCGACCCGCTGTCTTACTGTCTGAACGAGATCAATAAGACAGTGAAGCCCTGCGTCGCCTCCTTGCGCAGCCTCAGGTGGGCGGTAAGTTGGGGAAGGAGGATTTTGGGGGCAAAAAAGGGGGAAAAGGTGAAAAAATTCCACTTGGAAAACCCAAGTCATCAAGATTTGGCCCTGCTGCTGCGAAGGTTCATGGGAGGTGTCGTTCCTGCTCTTCTCTAGGGGCTGTGAAAATGGTACCTCCCACAATGCCTTGCAAATGTCCAGAGTGATTTTGCCATGGAATGGGGCAGAGTTTGAGCAGGAAGCCCAGCCCATGGAGCGTGGGGTGGGAGTGGGTGTTGCATGGCTTTCCAGCTCCCATAATGCACTGCTTCCTTCTCCCCCAGTGATGTGTGCCCAGTGTCACAAAGACTGGGACTGGGACATTGTGGGGTTGGAGTTGGGCCAGGGAGACCAGCCCTGAGAAGAGAACAGAGCCTTGAGCAAACTAGCTATCATATCCCCACCCGAGAGGCAGTTGCATATGTGTTTATACTTAGCTGCTGACACACTCCACCCCAGAGCTGGCTGCATCCATTATATCTAGCACGCCACCCCAGAGTCAGCCACATCTCTGTTATACCCTGTTTCTCATACACCACCCCAGAGGCAGCTGTATCTCTGTTACACTTGTCTGTTGATGCACTGCACCCCAGAAGCAGTCTCATCTCTGTTGCACTCAGCAGCTGACGTTTCCCACCACAGAGCTGGCCACATCTGTTAGATCCAACCCCTGTCACCCCCTACTTCAGAGGCGGCTGCATCTTTTGTTACACCTGGCCTTGACACCCCCCTGCCTCCCACCCCAGAAGCATCTGCATCTGTTATACTCAGCTGTTAACAAGCTTCACCCCAGAGTTGGCTGCATCTGTTATATCTGGCCCCTGACACTGCACTCCAGGGGCAGCTGCATCTGTTATACCCAGCCTGACACACTCCACCCCAGAGGCGGCTGAATCTTGTTACAGTTGGCCCCTACACGCCCCACACCAGAAATGGTGCCAGTTCCAGCTTGTTCCCTCTCCATCTGCAGTGGCAGGTCCCATTCCCATGGGTTAGGAGAGGGCAGGGGGTCTGCCCTCAGTGAGATGATCCATCATGTTCCCTCCTGTGCAGGGGGATTTGTGGTGGGGTTCCTCCCAAAAGCCAACTACAACCCCGAGCATCCCAGTAGCCTCTAGCCAGTTCCAGGCAGCTGTTCTAACCATTTCCCCCTGTCCTGCCAGCCCGTGATCACTGAGGACTTCAGCCACCTGCCCCCGGAGCAGCGGAGGAAGAAGCTGCAGCAGAAGATCGAGGACAGGAACCGGGAGCTGCAGAAGGAGATCGACCAGAGGTACCTGACCCCCCACTCTCACAGCCCTGCTATGGGCTAGGCTTTATTTCCCAGCATGCACTTCCCCAGGGTGCAGAGCAGGCTGCATGGGGGCAACTAGGGGAGGGGGAATGACTTGCATGCAGCATTTGGTGGGAGGGGCCATATGTTTTGCATATAATGCGCCATGGAATAGAAGACGCCCCTCACTTGGGAAAGGACGGATGGAGGACAGGTCTTTAGAAACTGAGTAGCAGCTGCTGGGGAGCAGAATCTGCCCCTGGTTTTGCTGGCAAACAGCTGCACCTGCTCTTACCATATTTCTTACATATAATGCATGCTCCCAGGTGCCAGCTGCTGGGTTTTTTGGGGGAGAGGGCATGTTGTATGGTAGATGGGTAAATATGGTAGATGGGCAACTCCCCCCGCCCCCCAATGGATCTTGTGCTGGCAATGCCCTCTAGTGGGAGTGCAGGGTGTGAGCAGATTAAGATCTACTCCTTGAGGTAGCTCTGTGTACCCTGCAGTTTTCTTGCTGGCATCAGCTATAGGGATGGGTCATTTCCTCCCTCCCTCCCTCCCTCCCTCTACCCCCCCAACCTGGGTATCAAAGTCTAGTAGTGTGGAGCAATTCTGTGCTGTCAGACGTGGATTAGATCAGTCCTGTTCTCCCTCCCAATCACCTTTTCAGTCCCAGATCCTTTAGGGGGAAGTGTGTGTGTTCTATGTAATGAAGTATGGTATTTAAATTTTCCCCCCCCACCCTCCCTAATACAGGGATGCCTTGAACAAGATGAAGGACGTGTACCAGAAGACACCACAGATGGGTGACCCTGCCAGCTTGGAGCCCAAGATTGCTGAGACCCTCAGCACCATTGAGAAGCTGCGGCTGGAGATCCAGAAATATGAGGTGGGGGGAGGGGCTGGAAAGGCACATTGAGAACTGGTACCTTGTAGAAAGCTTTAGGGGTCTCCGGGGCATTCCAGGGATCATGGTGAGGACACCGAGGCACAAGGAAGTGTCTGCGCGTGTGTGGTGGGGTGTTGACTTGCTAGAGATCAGGGATCAGGATGGGGAAACTGAGGCACAGTGTGTGTATGGGAGTGGGGGATGGTCTAGTGGTTTGGGGGGTGGTTCTGGGAAGCTCAGACTCCTGGGTTTTGCTCTCAGGTTTGGGGGCTGGACAGAGACTGCTTCAAACCCTGTGAATGGTTGTGGGGAAGCTGAGGCACTGGGCTCTCTCCAGCTGTTCTGCCCCTCCTCCTGGCTTGGGGGGGCATGGGTGGGTTGGGTGGATCCCCTCTCACACACGCTTCGTCTGAAGTACCACCCTCAGCCACCCAGCAGGGAGTGACTGGTGGGGGGGTGGAATGCAACCTGGGAGCCACCCAGCAGGGAGTGACTGGTGGGGGGGGGGAATGCAACCTGAATCCCGACCACCCCCCTTCTCCCTTCCCACCCCAGTCGTGGCTGGCTGATGCTGAGGGCCGAGCTCTGAGCAACCGCCCAGACAATGCACCCCGTGGTGGGCGCCAGCTGGACCCCGCCAGTGCCATCAACAACAATGTCAGCTCCCATGACAAAGACAGGTGAGGGTCTGGGGCGGGGACGGGGCCCAGATGCGGGGAGGGGCAGGCTTGTGGGAAGCCTGAGAGATGTGCAGCTCCATGCACCAGGGTGAGACAAGCCAGGCGTCCTTGATACCTGGCATCACATGATGTCAGGGGTGCCAGGGAAACTGTCTACACTCAGGCTGTCACAGTGCTATTGTGTGTGTGTGTGTGTGGAGTGGGGGTGGTCCTCTTTCTGGTAGCTGGAAGCAGGGGATGGTCATTGGCCACTAATAAGCTCCTGGCTCTTAATTAATAGGAATGAATTCCTATTTCTGTTAATAGTTCTTGTGATCCCTGAGATGTGCCGCCTCCTTTTCCAGCCAGACCAGGGCTGGGGCAGGCAGTGGTGGGAGCTGTTGGTGTCATCAGGGCAGGGTTTTGCCTTAGGTCAGAATTGAACTCAGAAGTCCTGAGCTCAGCAGTCCTGACCTTGCTCCCCACCCAGAGATCCCAGGCATCTGGGCTCCCAGCACTCCCTGGTCTAACCCCTCAGCCCTACTCCCTTCCCAACACAAGGATATAACCCAGGTGTCTGTGCTTCTAGCCGCACCCTTAATCTGCCCTATCCCCCCTCAGCCCCACTCTCCTTTGAGGGGGAGAGGATCCAGGCTTCCAGGTCCCATCCTCTTCAAGCTGTGTGGCCCTGTTCCCGAGCTGGGGATAGAACCCAGGCATCTGGGCTCACCATAGCACTACTCTAACTACTAAGCACTCACTCCTTCCTCAGCCCTGATGCACCCCACTCTGAGGACGGGACAGACACCCTGAACCAGCCCATCTACACTGAGTTCGATGATGACTTCGAAGAGGAGCTGGTGTCACCCATTGGCTCCTGTGTAGCCATGTACCGCTTTGAAGGTATTGCACTGGGGGGAGCGCCGAGCATTGTGGGAGGGCCAGGCCCGAGTGCACTGTGTCTGTGTGAGTGTGTGTGTCGGTGTGTTCCGGATGCCTGGGCTCTGTGCGTGTCTTTGTGTGCATATCCTGGATGCCTGGGTTCTGTATATGTCTGCATGTGTGTGTCCTGGACGTGCCTGGGTTCTGTGTGTGCATGTGCATGTGTTGTGTGTGCATGCTTGTCCTGAACCCTGAATGCCTGGGTTTTGTGGATATATGTCTGTACATGTGTGTGCACGTGTCCCAGGCTCCTAGGATTTATACGTGTGCGCATGCATGTCCTGGATGCCTGCATTCTGTATGTGAATGTCTCAAACTCCTGGGTTCTGTTTGTGTGGGCGCATGTCTCAGATGCCTGTTGTGTGTGGGTGGGGCAGGGAAGGAGATCTGGACTCATCTAACCCCTCCCCTCCCCTCCTCCCTCAGGCTCCAGTGAGGGTACCATCTCCATGGCAGAGGGTGAGGAGCTGAGCTTGGTGGAGGAGGACAAGGGCGATGGCTGGACCCGGGTGCGCCGTGGCCCTGGTGACGAGGGCTATGTGCCCACCTCCTACCTGCGCCTCAGCCTGCACTGAGCACCGGCTGGCTGGGGGGTGGAGGGGGCAACCAGCAGGAAGTGCTGCCTCCCCAGGCCCTGGGGCGGGGGCATACTGGGGGCATCAGCCTGAGATCAGGGCTGGGGGCTTTGCCCATCAGATCTTCCATGGGGGTGGTGGGGGAGGGGAGAATCCTGCCCTCTCCAAGCCAAGACTCCAGTGGGGGGGTTCATCTGCTCCCCTCTTTGCTGTCAGCCTCATGGGGGGGGGTGCAGTGTTCCTGGTGCCCACAAAGGGGCGGGCTTCCTGCTCCTTTCTGCAATGGGGGCTGCTATCCCCTACCCCACTCCTGTTTCCCCATTTGGGGGTAACAGGCCCCTTTTTGCCTCCCCCCCTGGGGCAAGTGGGGAGCAGAAGGGCACAGGGAGGCAGAAGACAGCTCCCCTCACATAGCAAACCATTGGCATCTGCTGCTCCCTCTGGTATTTGAACCCGGGGCCTTGGGGATTTGAATGCCTGGTCACCACCCGGGACAAATAGCATCAACTGTTCTCTGGGAGTAGCTCTAAAACCTTGCTGGTGGTGGGGTGGGTTGGGGACATTTTGCCTCCAAATGCTTCCCCCTTCTGTTTTCATTTACCCCTGATGTAGCAGGGGGTAGAAAGAGGCCAGGCCCCATCCCCTTGTTAATGACAGGCTCAATGGGAATAAGGGCTGGACTTTAGGACCCCCACCCCCTTTGGGGTCACAATCCCACCCCCTTTGAGGACATTATCCCTGCACCCTGTGGGGTTATGACTCCACTCCCTTGGGGTCACCCCCCACTTCCTTGGAATCATACCCCCACCACCTTTGGGATCATGCCTCCACACTCTTTGGGGTCACAGTTCTCATCCCTTTGGGATTATAATCCATCCCCTTTTGGGGTCCCACCCTCAAGTGTTTGGGGTCACAATCCCATCCCCTTAGGGTCTTGTCTCCACCCCCTTTTGGGGTAATGGGATCCCAGGCCTTACCCCTTCCTCCTATCTTCCCAGCCCCCCACCCCCTTACCAGGACCCAGTGCCCCCTAGAGGTGCTGCCCACCTAAAGCAGCCAGCTCCTGCCCCTGCCCCCCCACGATATGCACTTTATCCCCTTCCCAGCTCGCTCGGCCAGATGCAAACCTAATAATAAATCAACTCAACCAAGTGCCTGCTGCGGAGATCCCCTGGATCTGGGGGGTTGTGGGGCGGGATCTTGCTGTGGGAACCTAGGCGTCCAGCTCCCTCTCCCCTCGCTTCCCCCCTCCCACACACTGATTTATTGTTTTTTTTAGAGGACTCTAATATATGATAGCCTTTTATACTGGGACCCCTTCCCACTGTGTTTTAGCCTCAACCCCTCAGCCCCACTCTGATGGCTTGTTAATGGACTTCTGGGCATCCCAGTGGCTCCCAGTTAAGAGGGGGGTGGTCTCTTGGTTCTGACAGGTGGTTTCTAGGCTGCTGTATCTGAGCCCCTCTTGCTAGCGCCGTCGAATGTACTCGAGCTCAGCCCGCGGTGCCTTGCTTACACTTTATGTACAGAGATTTTTTGGGGGGGGTGATTTTTGCAGGGGCAGGGGGGTGGGGTGAGTCATCGTTATTCCCTCTCCTGTGCCAGGTTTTAAAGGAAAGTTTATAAAAACAAGATGAGATGCAGTTTGGAGGTGGTTGTGGCTTTATTTGGGTGGGGTTGTTTGGGAGGGTGTGTGTGTGTAATAACCCTTATTTTAGCAAGCAAAGGGATTGTAAGGGCATGTGGACACACAGCACACTTTATTCCAGAGTAATTTACCCCAGATGTTATTTTGGGGGGGTGTGTGTGTGTGTGTAAAACAAATAACCCTTTTGTGCTGTTAAAATAACACTTACCTTACCCAGAAGGGGTGCGGGTGGGGGGGGAGGGATTGGGGTTTGAAAGATGTGCGGACACACAACACACCTATTCCAGAGTAATTTACCTTGGATCTTATTCTGGGATTGGAGGGGTGGGGTGTGTGTGCGTGTGCATAATGAACAACTTGCGGGAATCATACCCCCACCACCTTTCGGATATTTTAACCTTTGGAAGCTGGTTAAAATAATCCTTGTTTTAGCAAGCAAAGGGATTTTAAGGGTGTCTGGACACAGTATGCTTAAACTGGAATAATTTCCCCTAGATCTTTTCCTATGATGGTTGTGCATGTTCATATGTATGCGTGTGTAACAAACAGCCTTTATTGCTGTTAAAATAACTCTTAACAAGCAGGGAGGAAAATGTGATTTAAAAGGCGTGGACACACAACATGCTTAATGTGGAGTCATGTGCCCCGGATCTTATTCTGTGGAGGGGTGGGGGATGCACACAACAAACAGCCTTTTTGTGCTGGTTTAACTAGCCCTTGTCTTTAGTAGGCAAAGAAATGGTGGTAAGGGTGTGTGGACATACAATACACTGATTCCTGAGTAATTTTACCCTGGATTCTGTGATCAATCTGCCCCCAAATCTACCTTCTACCTCCCTCATAGTCCCTGCCACGACCCTCTCCTCCAACCACCCCTTGGGCTAGCTGCATCTAAGTTGCTAGCACATGTCTTTCCCCATTGCCTGGTGTCAGGGTAGTGTTCCTGCTAGCGCCTCTCTGCCACTGCCCCTGCCTGGACTGTGAGAGGCAGAACGGCCCACAGGGGTCCTGGGACAGCGATAGGCACACAGCACCTTTTGCAGCCAAGGTTTTCACCCCCTGCCCTGCCTCAGCCAGGGGGAAAGAGAATCGGAAGATCCTCCAGGTTCTTTTAATTTAAGGATACAAAAGAACCAAGGTGCTGTTCTTGCCTATTTTTCCCCATCCCAACACTGCCTATTCCCCCTCCACCTGTCTTATGTTTCATCCCACCAGATCTGGGGGCTGTCCCAATGCAGAGATCCACACCCCCTTCCCCCATGGGGGTCAGATCTGGCTAGATCCTAAGTTTCTGTCTTCCTGGCTGGCTCCAGCTTCTGAGACAGGACGGTAAGGATCCGGTCAAATTTCTCATAGCGTTCTGCTTGGCTGGCCTCTGCTCCCTTGCTGCCCCAGAAGAGGCGGAGGGCAAATTCCGTCTGGAAGGCTTCCAGGAGCTCGGGGGTGGGCTGGAAGCCTGAAGAGAGACAGCCCAGATAGGTGAGATCAGAGCATTGACTGGGCGACTTATACCTGCCAGGCTGTTATATAAGGTGTATTATGACTGGAGATCTCTTTGGTAGCTCAGGCCGATGGACCACCAGAGAAAATCAGGGGTCAGGGAAAGCATTGGGTTCCCTGCCAAGTTGGGGAGCACCCCCTGGATGCAGCATCTGTGGGAGGGTCATTACCGTATTTTCTTGCATACCACACCGACATTTTCCCTTTGCAATCATAAGACATGTCTTAAGTGAGGAAACTGATTTCTATGCCAGAATGGAAGCATGAAAACGCTGTGATATCTGCCATGGCCAGGAGGGACGCAGCATCTTGGGCATCAAAAGTAGTTTTAACCCTTTCACTGCTGATGATGAATTGACAACAACTTTTAGCTGAGCAGAGCTCAGGCTATAGGAATTTGGGAGTGGTTGGGGATGAGGGCTGAGGCTGCTCTAGGGACTAGACTATAGTTAGACTACTTTTTCCAGCATGCGCTGCATAGGGAGTAGCAGCAGTATTCTAGGCCAGATGCACTGTGGGAAACAGAAGTCCAGGTGGGGCAGGGGGGAGAGATTGCAAAGCACAGAGACTGAGGGGTGAGGCAAGAATAGGGCTGGGCTGTGCAGCTGGATTACATTTCCCAGAATGTGCTGAACAGGAAGGTGCAGGGGTATCATGGAGTTTCCAGGCAAGAAGTATTATGGAAGATTCCAGACCATTAAAAGTGGGCTGGGGATGTCCCTGCTAGCTTAGGGCCTGGACTGTGTGGTTGGACTCAATTTCCTAGCATGCACTGCAGAGGGAGTACCATCATACCATGTCACTTGGAAAGGGGCATTATGAGAAATGGAGTTTACTGGGAGGAGCTCAGACCATAGAGGTTGGTGGGGGGGCAGGTAGGGGAGGGCTAAGACTGCCTGGGTTCCATGGCTGGATTGCATTTCCCAGCATACATTGCACAGGAAACGTGTGGCACTGCAGGCCAGAGGCATTATGGGAAATGGAGTCCAGGAGGGTACAGAACCTCAGGCCATAGAGACAGTAGGGGTGGATGGAGCAAGGCCTGGGCTGTTCAGCTGGACTACATTTCCCAGCATGCACTGCACAGGGAAAAAGCAATGGTATTTTAAGAGTCCCTGGGCCAGAGGCATTATGGGAAATGCAGGACTTCAGCCTATAGAGGGCTTGGTGATTAGACCTCATTTCCCAGCATGCACTGCACAGGGAGTACCATGTTATGGTGCCTTGCAGCCAGGAGCATGATGGGAAATAGAGTCCAGGCCAGGGCCAGAGCTGTCCTACCTTGGAGTGTGGCCTCTGCTTGGGCCTGGTAGCGTCCGGTGTGGGCAGCCATGTCCCGGGCAGCACCCAGTGTCCGCAGCAGCGACTCACAGCTGTCCTCATGGTCATCCCACAGCCGTTCGCCCTCCAGGAGCCCCAGCAGGGGCACCACAAAGGGCACTGCTACAGCCCCTGGGGTGCTGGTCTCTGGCGGGGAGCACAGGATATAAAGTTGGTGGGAGGTCTGAAGGTGTCTCCCCAACCTGGAGACTCCCCACCAGGGGACCTCAGAGTGAGGGGAAGGAGCTCCCCTTGGCTGGCAGCAATAGTAGGATCTTTATCTTTGCTGCGCCAGCCACTATCAGCCTTCAGAAGACCCAATGCATGTGCCCTGTAGGAGCTTAATCTTGTGGGAACAGGGGGGTGCAAAAAGAGGTGGGTCCCTGGGGATAGGGGACCCCATTTGAGACAGAAAGTGCCCTTTCCCCATCAGCAGCACCCCCCAGCTCATAGCTTTACATGCAGGGAAGTCCAATTTCTTTCCCTCAAGGGGGCAAAGAACCAAATGCAGGACCTCCCAAGGGCTTTAGGTGCCTATGTCAGTTGGATTTAGGCACCTCAAAGGCCTTTTTTGTGTGTGTGTGTGTGTGTGTGTGGGGGGGGGAGAGGGGGGATAGAAATCTGAATTAAAGTGATATGAGCAGGTGCCAACACCAGACACAGAGAAGCCTGGGATGGGGAAAGCTGTGGGGTTGGGGAAACTGAGGCACAGAGAAGCAGGGGGTGCGGACACGGAGGCATGGAGAGGTGGGGAAATTGAAGCACAGAGAAGTTGGGAGATTTGGGGAAACTGAGGCATGGGAGAGCCTGTTTTGTGAACCCAGGTATCATGGCCCCTTTCTGGCAGTGAATCCAAGTTCAAGTGACATGGATAGGGTTACACAGGCAGTTGGTGGCTGAGAGGAGGCAGCTGGAAGCCAGGGGAGAGGGAAGACCCACCTGCTTGCCCCCCCACTCCATCCCGGTAGATATGACCCCCTACAGCCTGGTACAGCCCCCTCCCCACCCCATAGCCTCACCTTCCCCCCGGCTCAGGCGCCTGACGAAGGGCTTGAGGTCCTTCTCAAAGGCCACAGCGCTCTCAGTGTGATTCTGCCGCAGGCATCTCCACGTCTCCTCCAGCCGCGCGATCTGGGGGGAAGAGGTGGTGGGAACTGAGATGTGGGGGGAACCTGAGGGTACAGGGGTGAGAGGGTGCAAAAAGAGGCAGGTCCCTGGGGCTGGGGAGAGGGAACTCCATTTGCGACATCTGCACCCCCTAGCTCAGTTTTACATACAGGGAAGTCCATTTTCTTCCCCTCAAGGGGGCAAAGAACCAAGCCCAGGTCCTTCCAAGGACTTCAGGTGGCTACGCCAGTGGGATTTAGGCACCCCAGAGACCCTTTTGTGATTGGGCACTGACTTCCTTCCTCCACCTAATGGACAGAGGAGGGCAATTGCTTTGGTGATGAGGCCCTTAGAGATGGAGACAAGCCTGAAAGGGCCCTAAGAGGGGGGTCCTCCTGCATCTCCCGTGTCCCCAAATCAGGGTCCCTCAAGAGTCCTAAGCCCCCAGTGAGGATCTAGCCCCCACCCCGTCCCAGTCTCAAGCCCCCAGTGCCAGGCACTGTACAAGCTCCTTTGACCAGGATCAGGTCCGTCCCCCCACTGTGCCCCCACCAAACTAGTGAAGTGCCTGGGCTGAAGAGCAACCAGCCTAATAAGAGCAAGGGCACCCGGGGGCGGGGAGCACAGAGGAGCTGCAGAAAGTGCGGTACAGACAAGGAGAGGAAACAGGCACAGAAGCTGGTGGGATAGGAAAACAGGAGCTGCAGGAATTGAGGCACGGAGGAGCTGTCGGGCGGGAAAACTGAGGCGCAGAAGAACTCGGGACATTGAGGCACAGAGAAGCTGGTGGGTTGGGAAAACAGTCCTGGAGAAGCTGAGGATTGGGGAAACTTGATGCACAGAGAGGCTTGGGAGAGGGACACTGAAGCATGGAGAAACCGGGGGGTGGGGACACTGAGGGACACAGAGGCATGGAGGAGCTGTGGCAGGGGGAACCTGAGGAATGAAGAAGCTGGGGAACGGAACTGAGGCATGAAGAACCAGGGGAAGCCAAGGCACGGAGGAGCTGGGCAGAGCTGGGGAAACCGAGGCATGGGGGACCTGTTCTCCAAACCCAGGCGTCCTAGCCCCAGCCCCCGCTCCCTCACCTGGGGCAGCTGCAGGGCGCTCATGACGGCTGAGAGGGCAAAGAGGTCACCGGCCACATCCCGCAGGGCACGCGCCAGTTGGATGATGTGGTGCAGCGTGGCTGTCCGCTCTGCCACAGTGCCTGTGCAGCCCAGCAGGTCCACGGCAATGCCCAGCGCCAGCACCCTGTGCCTGGGGGGCAGGAAGCAGCCAGCATGGGGCTACTAGACTTGGCTACCCTTCCACAGTGGCACCTCCAGGTAAGCCAGTAGCATGTGGGGCAAGCAGGGTTTGGCCTGGCCTGGCCCAGATGGGAGACTAGCCAGACAACCCACCCCCCACCCCTTTGGTGTCAGGAGGGGCTGTGGCCTCCTCCAGAGGAGACAGCTAATGCCTCTAGCCAGACCCAGTCTAACTCCTCTAGCTGGTTCTTTGTTGCACCCCACAGACGGCTGCATTTCAAGCAACCTCCCTAGGGAAGGAGGGAGTCATTCAGCGCTACTCATGGGAGCGACTCAGGCCTCCACCCTAGAAATGGCTGCATCTTGAGGCCATTTGTGTGAGCTATCCCTTGGTAGCTGTGTTCCATCCCAGAAACAGCTGCACCTTGTTTGAGCTGGCCGAGGTTCCCAGGCTGGCTGCATCTCAGCTACCCAGCTGCTTCACTACTTCAGCCCATGGCTGGGTGCCTTAGGCAGACAACTGAGGCTGCGAGGACTGCGTTCCACCCCAGAACTGGCTGCATCTTGGCCTGGGGGTGGGAGCTATCCCCTGGCTGCTGTGTCTCAGCTTGTGGGTGGGAGCTTGGGGATAGGACTCAGGCATCCAGGTCATGCTCCCAGTAACCCATCAGATCCCACTCCCCTCCCTCCCTCCCTCCCTGAGCTGGGGATAGAACCCAGGTGTCTGGGATCCCAGCCTCCCCACTGTTCTAACCCCCCAGATGCCCCCTCCCTTCCCAGAGCTGGGGGATAGAACCAAGGTGCCCGGGCTCTCGCTCCCAGCCCCCAGCTGCGGTGTTCCACCCCAGAACTGGGCACATCTCAGCCACCCGGTGGCTCCGCTGAGCCAAGGACCTTCCTCCATGGCCATGACAGCTGTGCCCCACCCCAGATGTGGGCATATGCCTGGCCCCCACCTCTCCAGCAGCTCTCTGCGCAGCTGGTGCCCGTGGGGCAGCGTGATGAGCTCCAGGCCTGAGCTCACCCCCATTGCCCGCTGCTCCTCCTGAGTGACCCCTGTGATCCTGGTGGCCTGGAAGGAGGAGAGGGATGAGGCCTAGAGCCCTGTCCCTGTCACTGAGGGGAGGGAGGGGGTAAATGTCCCCTGGGAGGGGCTGTTACTGTGGCAACAAAGCTACCCTCTGCCCCTTGGGAGAAGCAGCTATGCTAGAGCTGGGGAGAGAACCCAGGCATCCAGACTATAACCACAGGACCCCACTAGAACTGGGGAGAGAACCCAGGTACCCAGGTCATGTCCACTGTAACCCACCAGCCCCACTCCCTGCCTAGAGCTGGGACAGAACCCAGGTGTCCGAGCTCCCAGCCCCACCAACTCCAATCCCCAAGACCTCCTTCTCCTTCCACAACAGGGGATAAAACCCATGTGTCCAGGCTTCCACCAACCCACACTCCTCCCACCACCCCTTCGTCACCCAACAGACTCTCTTTCCTCCCAGACCTGGGATTCGAATGCAGACATCCAAGCTCCTGCTCCCCTAGGCCACTTCCTGGGCCTGGCAAAGAACCCAGGCATCTGGGCCTTCCCCCCCACTCCTTACCAGGCAGTCCATGTGCAGCATGTGCAGCGCCGTGCACTGGGCATCATGCCGGGCAAAGAGCTCCTTGAGCCTGCGCAGCACGCTGGGCTCCAGGGGCCTGTTGTCAGGGGGCAGCAGGAGGGAGGGGACGGCAGGGAGCTGAGGGGCCGGCTCCAGCAGCGGGTGCTGGAAGCCCCCCACCTCCCCACCCACGTTCAGGAGCCCCAAGTCAGCCTCAGTGGCCCGTGCCCGGCGCCGCCGGATCTCCTGGGCCCGCAGCCGCCCCACATGGCTGCGGAGGGCAAGGGGTGGGCTTAGATGCCCCTCAGAGTTGCTGCGAGCGCCAGGGCCTGAGCAGTGGTCGGGCACCAGCCCGGGGTCGCTGCCTGCCCGGGACACGGGAGACAGGGGCGGAAACCGGGGCCGTTCAGGGCTGCCTGGGCAGGGGAGAAGGGGGAGTAGTCAGGGGATGGGGGGCAGGAGGGGCTTGGCCCTGCCCTCATGCCTTACCTCCCACCCCACCCCTTGGCTTCTTCTCCTGCCCCCTGGCCCTCCCCCCTTATGCTACATCCCACCTCCTTCCCCCCAGTCCAGTCTATTCCCTTACCTGTTGCTCCGCCCCTTTCCCTGCCTGCCCCCTTACCCCTGGCCCTGCCCGCTTTACACTCCCCCTGGCTCCTTACACTGCCCCCTGACCCAATGGCTCTGCTCTCTTCTCCCCAGCCTCCTCCCCATACCACCTCATCTCCTTATCCAGGCTCTGCTCCCTTATCCTATGGCTCTGCCCCTTATTTCTTCTCCCACCCCCTTTCCCCTAGCCCCACCCCTTTCCCCTGATTCTGCCCCCTCACCGGCCCTCAGGTCAGGATGGGTGGGGGGCCCCAGCCTTGGAGGGCTCCGGCCCAGCCGCTCCAGCCCCGCAGGTTGGCTCCCACTGCGCTCAGCTGCCCTGTGGGGAGGAAGGGCCTGGCTCAGAGCTCTGAGGGTGCCAGGGGGTTAATGGTCCTGCTCAGCCCAGTTGTCAGGGCCAGAGCTACCCTGGGAGTCCCTGCCCTCTTTGGAGAACCGAGGTCCCCGGGCTCCCCACAACCCACTAGCCCCATTCCCCTTCCCCCTGCTCTGAGCTGAGACAGAACCCAGGTGTCTGGGGGCTCCCAACAGCCACTTGCTCCCTGCCAGCTCAAGGGAGCAGAGAACCCAGGTGTCCAGGCTCTCAGGACCACAGCAGCAGACTCCTAAGCCCATTCTGCAGCCTGCTAACGCAGCTGGACCCCGGGAGTCCGGGCTCCCAGGCTTTGGTTCCCCCCTTCCCCAACCCACCTGGCCAGACTGTTTAGGAGTCCTGGTTCCCAGTCCGTTTGCTCCCCCCACTCACCTCCCAGTGCTGGAACTAGAACCCAGGCGTCTGGCCGCCTTTCCTCCCCCCGCACCCCAGTCCATAATAGACCCCAGTGTCTGGCCCCCAGAGCCTACCTCAGCTGCCCCCGCCAGGTGGCTCCAGCATCTCTGCCTAGTGGCTCCAGCTGGCAGCGGCTCCGAGCAGGGTGCTGTACATCAGGAGGCTCCCGTGGCGCCCCCTTGGCCTCCTGGGAGTAGGGGACAGTGGTTAGAGCAAGCCCAGACACCTGGGTGAGTCTGGTAGGTTGCAACCCAGATGCCAGGGTTCCCTCCTGGATTTGGGGGCAGGGAGTAGACCCCAGACACCCGGGTTCCCTCCCAGGCCTGGAGAGGGGAGGGGGTTGGTGGGTTAGACCAGAAGCAGGGCTGGGATCCTGGATGCCTGGGTTCCCTCCTGGGCTTTGGTAGGGGTAGGGCTGGGTGGCAGTGGGGGAGCCCAGATGCCTGCATTCTCTTTCCCAGCCGGGGGGGCGCGGGGGTGTACTGGGAGCCCAGATGCCTGAGTCCCACCTCCCTGCAAGCTGAGGCTAGTCCATGTCCCTGTGCTCCCCGTGCTTCAGTTTCCCCCTCCGGTGCGTAGCTTCTCAGCCACAGCCTCTGTGTGTGGGGGAAATCTGGGTGCTAACATATTTTCCTGAGTACAGGGACAGCAGTACCTGGCGGCGCAGGGCAGCAGGGCTCAGCTGCAGCTTCTCCCGCAGCTGCTCCAGGTCTCCGGCCATGCTTGGCCCTGAGGGCACCTCCTGGGGGCAGAGGGCAAAGGTCAGGCAAGGTCCCTGCCCCCTCTGACTCAATTGGGACCCTCCTAGTATTCCCCACTCCTCTCCCACAGCTAGTAAAGACCCCAGGTGTCTGCCCCCCACCCCCCAACTCAATGGATCCCACTCCCTTCGCAGAGCGGGGGGAGAACCCAGGCGTCTGGCCTCCCATGTCTCCCTGCTCTGACTCACCAGACCCCACTCCTCTCCCAGAGCTAGTAAACTACCCAGGTATCTGAGGTCCCCCCACCCGTAGTCCACCAGGCCTCACTCCTCCCAGAGCTGGCAGACATCCCAGGTGCCCGGGCTCCCAGCCTATGCTCTAGTCCAGGGGTAAGCAAAATGTGGCCCGGGGGCTGGATACAGCCCACCAGGCCACTTTATCTGGCCCGCAGGGCCGCTAAAAAATTTAGAAAATTAATATTAATCTGTCCTGAGCTGCCTGTCATGTAGCCCTCGATGGCTTGCTGAAACTCAGTAAGTAGCCCTCTGCCCAAAATAATTGCCCATCCCTGCTCTAGTCTAACCCCTACCTCAGACACTCAGGGGTCTTCTGAGGGAGGGGCGGAGAGCTCCACAGCCCTGAGGAGCCCAGGCATCTGGGCTCCCAGACCCCCTCCCCACAACTCCCTTGTTCCAACCCAGTGGACCCTGACTCCCCTCCCAGGGCTGGGAGAATCCAGGTGTCTGGACTCCCGCCCCACTTCCCCCAGTTCTAACCTCCCAGCCCCTTGTCCTCATGCAGCCTCCCAGCCCCCGCCAGCTCTGCTCCCCCCCAGCCCCACCCCAAAACCAAAAACCTGGTAGAGACCCCAGGCATCCAGGCCCCCAGTGGCTCTGCTCTAGCCCCTACCTCTGCCAGGCTCTGTCCTCCCAGCCCCGCTGGGTACCAGTCAGGTCCCTCTACCTGTACTGGGAGCTGTACAAACCCTGCAGCCAGGAACAGGCCCTTGTGCCAGGAGCTATATGAACCTCCCAGGCTGAAGCTGGCTGGGAGGGGAGGAGGCAGCGGGTGCCACTTCCCTCACCACTGCCCCCAGGCTCTGACTCCCCTGGGCTCTGGGGGTCCAGCCCCCCAGCCCTGTCTCCATGGCCCAAGCTCCCTGTTGGGGGCTGGCGATCCGCCTTGCCTGGGGCCCTCACACACCTGAGCTGCCTGGGCCCTGAGTCAGTGGCTGGGAGCTGGCCAGGCCCTGCCCTCAAGGGGGGAGGAGCTGGGTGTGGCGGGCACTGGAGTAAGGGGCCCAGGAGTCCAGGCTGCCCACCCCCTCTCACCCGTAGCAATCAGAGCTGTCCAGCTTCAGACCCCCTGCCCGGCTTGAGCCCACCTACGAGACCCCAGGTGTCCGGGCTCCCAGCCCCTCCCAACAGGCCTTAACCCTCCTACTTTCCCAGGAGCCCAGGTGTCCGAGCTCCCCTGGTCTAACCCACCAGACAGCACCCTCCTTCCAGGAACCCAGGTGTCCCTCCCTGCTCTCACCCACCAGCCCTCACTCACTCCTCCCAGGAGCCCAGGTGTCCCTCCCTGCTCTCACCCACCAGCCCTCACTCACTCCTCCCAGGAGCCCAGGTGTCCGGGCTCCCAGCCTTCCCTGTTCTAGCCCACCAGACCCCACCCACCTCCCAGGAGCCCAGGTGTCCGGGCTCCCGGTCTCTCTGTGGTCTTACCTTCCAGGAGCCCAGGTGTCCGGGCTCCCAGCCTTCCCTGTCCTAGCCCACCAGGCCCCACCCACCGCCCAGGAGTCTGGCCTCCCAATCCCGCCCTGTTCTAACCTACCAGACCTCACTTCCAGTCCCCACCCCTCCTTGTCATTTTAACCCCCTGGTTTCCATTCTCTTCTTGTATCTATGGATAGAGCCCAGGAGTCCTGGGTTCCCCCTTCCCCTGGGTCTAACCCACTGATTGCCACTCCCCACCTAGATCCAAGCCATCTGGGCTCCTCCCAGCCCTTCCCTGTTCTAATGCCTCAGACCACTGCACCCCCCAGAACCCCAACCTTGCGGGCGCCCCTCCCCCCCGGTTCTAACCCACGTATCCTCCACTCTCTTCCTAGATCCAGGCATGGACCCCACGTGTCCGGGCTCTCTCAGCTGTGGGCCCAAGGCACTGCATGGGGAAGCTTGCAGCCCATTAACCCTTCACGAGCCTGGCATGTGGCTTTCAGGTCCCTGTCAACTTGGCTGTCCGGGTAAGAGAAGGAAGGATGGACATGTGCCCCCACCCCCACACCAGGAGCTGTACAAAGCCCCCTAGCCAGGATCAGGCCTGGCCCCTGCATAATCCTCCCAGCCAGGATCAGGTCCCCTGTGTCAGAAGCTGTACGAGCGCTGCAGCCAGGAAAAGGCTTCAGCCAGGATCAGATCTTCCCATGCCAGGAGCTGTATGCAGTGTTGCCAACTCTCATGATTTTTGGTCTTGTTCTTAAAGTCTACACTTCGGGAATGTGAAAACGTAGCACTTTCTTTTATGTAGATTTATTTTTTATATGTGTACATATATAAAAGAAAGCCCTACGTTTTTCACATTCCCGAAGTGTAGACCTTAGAAACAATGCCAAAAATCATGAGATTTGGCAATATTGGGTATAAGCCCACAAGCCAGGATCAGGCCTCAGCCAGGATCAGGTCCCCCTGAGCTGGAAGCTATACAAATGCCCCTAGAGACAGTCCCTGCCCCAGCTGGGATCACGTTCCCCCCTGTGCTTGGAGCTGTACAGGCTCCCTGAGACAGCCTCTGCACTAGCCAGGATCCGATTCCCTTGTGCCAGGAGCTGTACAACCTTCCCCCAGACGCAGCCCCCACCCCAGACCCCCATCCCTAAGGCTGAGTGGGGCCAGGAGACCTGCTTTGCGGGGGGGTGGGGAGAGGGGTATATAGAGCAGGGCACAACCCCTCCAGCCGGAAGCCTGGCCTGGCCCACCCAGCCCCATGGTGGGAACTGTGGCACAAAAGCATAGATTTGGACAATGCAGAGGAAATCCTGCCCCCACCCAGCGCCCAGGAGCCAAGCCCTGTGCGGGAGTAAAGCAGCAACAGGCGCAGCCTTAATTTAGCCTTCACTGGCAGGTTCTACCTGGGTGTAAATCCGGAGGCAGCTTGGAGGGGGGAGGATCACCATGGGGGTTCAGTTACCCTCCTGGTTTGTACAGGGCTCAGTGCCTCCTGATCCTGGCCTGGGGGGTCTGTATAATGCTTGGCACTCCCCAGTCCTGGCCTGGGGGGTCTGTACAATGCCTAGCACCCTCATCCCGGTCCTGGCCTGGGGGTTCTGGGCATTCCCCTCCCTGCTGCATCTCCAGGGGTCTCCAGGGTCCCCTGATTTACCCCCACCCCCTGTGCTGGGGTACTGGGGGGGAGGGTTGGTATTAGGGAGTACTAAGGGGTTGGTACTAGGGGGTACTGGGAGCCAGGGAGTGTGTACTGGGGGGGGGGATACTGGGAACTGGTGGGTTGTCCAGGGAGCCAGGAGGTGTTTTCTGGAAAGTACTGGGAGTTTGGGGGGGGTAGGGGGGTCTGGGTGTGTGTGTCGGGGGGGGGGGGTCACTGGGTGCCAGGGCATGTGTACTGGGGGGCACTGGGGTCTGGGAGGTATATATGGGGAGGTATTGGGAGCTGGAGATTGTGCACTGGGAGGCTCCTGGGAGCTGGTGGATTGTAGTGAGGGCCAGGGGTATGTACTGGGAGGTAATGGGAACAGGGGAGTGTATGCTGGGGGGTACTAGGAGCTGGTGGGTTGTCCTGGGGGGCCAGGGAGATACTGGGAGCTATTGGGAGCTGGGGGGTTCTCCCGCTCTTGCCCGCCACAGCCTCTACCCCTGGGGAACTTCCTGCCCTGGCTCTTACCTGGCCTGAGCCATCACAGCCCAGGCCTTTATCCCCACCCAGGGAAGGGGAAACTGAGGCACAGGCACCAACAACTTACCACAGGTCACCCTGTGAGGAGGACGGGGATGGGACCAGGCGTCCAGGCTGCCTTGCTCCCCCACTGCCCGAGTCTTTCTGGCTAGAGGATAATCACATGAACAGAGGAGGGGGTGGACAGCCCCAGGCTTGGACACTTGGATTCTCTCCCTGGCTGCCTGCCTTGTGTAGGACTGTCATGGCGTATACCCAGAACCCAGGTGTCCAGAATGCATGCCCACTCCAACACACATGTGTGCACACCCCCTTATATGTGACCCTAGGCTGTTCTTGGTCACTTGAGGACACTGAGGCATGGAGTTGGGGAGGGTGAGAATGCACGGGGTTGGGGCACTTCCTCCTTGAGGTCACCTGGGTCCCCCATAGGCCTGGGCTCTAGGTTCTTCTCCAATGCAGAGGAACCCAGGTGTCCTGTCTCCCAGCCCTGCAGATGCAACACCCCCCACCCCTCCCCCCTGAGCTGAGGATGGAACTTGTCAAAGGGGGAGGGAAGCCCCAACACTGGTTTATTTTGCACTCTGCACCAGCGAGACAGGGGTTAGCTGAGCCATGGAGGATTCTGGTCTGAGATGGCAATCAGAGGTCTGGGCCCTGTTGTGCCAGGTGCTGTACAGCCTCCCAGGCTGGGATAGGGGCTATGCCTGGCACTGTACAAACCCCAAGACCAAGATCAGGGGATGCCGGGCACTGTACAGACCCCCAGGCCAGGATTGGGGGGCTCCAGGTTCTGTATAGTCCTCCCAGGCTGGGATCAGGGGGTGTTGGGTGCTGTAGACCCCTCCTCCAGGCTGGGACTGGGGGCTCTGAGTGCTGTAGAGACCCCCAGGCTGGGCTTGGGACCACACCAGGCACTGTACAGACCCCTCTTGCTCCTTTGAACTCTGGGAATGACTCACAGAGGTTGCTTATGGGTGGATTCCTGGCCTATGATGGGGCCAGGAAATGAGCTGAGATCAAGATTGGTTTGCGTATCTGGCCAGACACACAGAGAAATCCCTTTGTCATTAGAAAATAACCTGTGCCAAGGAAGATCCTGGGGCTGGAAGCTCTTCCCTGAGACATCAGCCCCTTAGATCAAGGCCCATTTATTTTTTTATTAGCCATTAAAATGAAAAGGGTGGAGATTTCCCCTCTGTAGGTAGCTCCAGGTTTAACCTGGAAGACCATTAATTAATGTTTCTCATCTGCTTGGATTGTTTTCAGTGAAAAAATAAAATCTCTTCCATCTAAATCCCTTTAAAAACGGTAATTAATGGCCAAATTTTGGCCAATTAAAGCCCAAAACTGGCATTTTCATCACGATTTTCATCACCAAATTTTTTTTTCCAACAGAAAAACTCTGCTTTTCATCAAATTTACCGTATAAAAATTCCAATATTGTCACTAAAAAGAAAAATGGTAATTTTTATCTATGTTCCCTTGGGAATTGTTTTTTTTTTTCCCAGCAGAAAAATTCTACTTTTCTTTAAATTTACTCTCAACAATTCCATGTTTTTCCACTAAAAAAATGGTATCATTTTATCCACATTGACTTGGAAATGGTATGTTTTTTAAGCAGAAAAATTCTGCTTTTCATTAAAATTTTCTGAAAATTGTATTCTTTCAGTGAAAAACTGAACTTTTATTAACATTGCCCTGCAATTTTTTTTTCAACCAAAGAACTAGCCTTTCCATAAAAACCTCTGAATTTTTGTAGACCAAAACATGGCTTTTTTCATTAAAATTGCCATGAGAAATGCCTTTGCTGGTAGAAAAACTAGATTTTTATTAAAATTGTCCATGAATTTTTTTACTGTCAGCCAAAAAGGCTCCCCTTTCCCTCAGAATTCCCTGAAAATAGCATTTTTTTTCATGAAAAGACCTTTATATAAAAATTGCACAGGAAATTTTTGGTGTTTTTTCACCCAAAAAACTGGCATTTACATCAACATTTCCCCAGCAACTGCATTTTTGAGGCCAAAAATCTGACTTTTTAGTCAAAATTGTCCAGAAAATTGCGATTTTTCCAGTGAAAAACTGGCCTTTTTGTTAATATTCATGTCTAGCTCTTTTCCACCCAGGACCCCTCAACTCTTGTTTCCCCACCCCAGCCTGCCCAGAACCCAGACCAGCTGTGGGGGCCTGGGCTAGGGAGCTTGGGATGGATTCATCAAGGGCAAGACATGCCTAACCAACCTGATTGCCTTCTATGACAAGGTGACTGGGTCTGTGGATACAGGGAGACTGGTGGGTGTGATGTACCTTACTTTTAACAAAACTTTTGATACAGTCTCCCATAGCTTCCTTGCAGGCAAGCTAAGGAAGCGAGCTGGATGAATGGGCTGTAAGGTGGATAG